CCACGAAGAAATGACTTTTGGAGGCTCGGAAGGTGTTATTCGTCATCAGCTCGTTAAACTGAATCTGAATATGTATAATAAAGTCAAAACAAAATTCCACTTGAATTTTGCATTAGCTGAACCTTATATTGAAGTACTAAATCGCGATAATTTTGTATCGAACGAAGAAAAATCAAATCATCAAGTAACTTGTGATCCTTTCTTCTCGTTTATTCATTATAAAATGAATAATACAGTTTTAGCTTTGGACTGAATTGTGTGAATTAATATCGAAAAGTCCATCAAAACTTAAATCAACTGAAGGTGAATCAATTATTCGTCAAGGAATTGAAAAATATAAAGATCACGTTGGACAGTTGTGGACATCCCTAGCAGATTATTATATTCGAGCAGACTGTTTCGAAAAAGTAGTTTCTATAGTCTGTTTAACACGAAAATTTGTGTTTATACTTTAATTCTTTTTCTCTAGACTCGCGATATATTCGAAGAGGCAATTGATGCCGTTTTGACTGTGCGAGACACAAGTAAGTACTGCTAAGAAATGTTAAATAATCGAATATGTTGTATGTTTATATTTAGGTATTCGATGCCTATGCACAATCTGAAGAGGGTGCAATAATAGTCAAATTTAACGAAGAACAATTGACAGAGGATGGTACGTCGAAATAGCTTTGGCTTACAAAAGTACTTTTTGCCACTGAACGGTTCTAAGTCTTCTGAAATGTTTTGAAATTCATCGGTCTGATCCACATAATCTTTGCCTCCTTTGTGAAGTGTACTTCTCTAAACAATGTTTATTATTTTTTTGCTTAGACGCTCTTGAATTAGAAATTCATTTGGCTCGGTTGGAGTATTTAATGGATCGTCGTCCATTATTATTAGTGTCCTATTAAGACAAAATGCACATAATTTTAATGAATGGTTAAAACGTGTAAAGTTGTATGGTGAACAATATGATAAAGTAATTGAGACGTATGCACGTGCTGCTCAAACAATTGATCTAAAAATATGTACTGGAAAACTTCATGAGTTGTGGATATCGCTGGCACAATTTTATGATAGTAATGATCAACTGGATGAGGCACGATATATTTATGATAAAGGAACAAAAGTCACTTATCGTCATGTTGATGATTTGGCATGTGTTTGGTGTGCATGGTGTGAAATCGAATTGAAACACGAAAACTACGAAGAAGCTATTCGACTAATAGAACGTGCCACAGTATTACCACGACATAAAGGTGATTATTACGATGTAAATGGAACAGTACAAATGAGATTACATAAAACTTTAAAACTATGGTCGTTCTATGTTAATCTAGAAGAGTGTTACGATACATTTGGAACAGTTAAAGACGTGTATGATCGTATAATCCATTTAAAAATAGTCACACCACAAACAATTATTAATTATACCGTTTGTTTGGAAGATGATAAATATTATGAAGATGCATTTCGAACATATGAGAAAGGCATTGCTCTGTTTAAATGGCCAAATGTTTATGATATGTGGTTAACATATTTATGTAAACTTGTTCAACGTTATTCGGATGATTCAAAGTTGGAACGTACTAGAGATTTGTTTGAACAATATCTCGAAGATTGTCAACCAAAATATGCCAAAAATTTAAATTTATTATACGCTAAATCGGAAGAAAAACATGGACTAGATGGGCGAACATTAAAAATAAACGAAAGAGCAACAGAAGCTGTTGAACCAAAGAAAAATACGAGGTATGTCTAGTGATAAAGTAGAACATATCGGTTTTTGTGAGATGAATCTCTATAAATAGGGGGCTGTACCCTTAAGTAGTTGATCGTATTATAGTTTTAGACACTTTCTGATGCTTGCATTTGCTCAACAAAAAACATGTTAAGTATTCTTCTGCATTTGCTTTTAGATATTGAATATTTATATAAAACGATGTGGCGAAATGCGTAGTGTAACACAAATACCAGAAATATACGAAAAACCAACTGAATCATTAACTGATGAGTCATTCATAGCAAATCAGCAAATATCTTTCGTCCGGTTTGGACGGAAACCGTATACATATTCTAGTCGGTTTTGCACGTAGATTCCGAATCCGGCGTCTGTTTTTTGGTGCCTAGTCTAGTTTTCGAACAATAGATGAAAAACTGGTTTTACGTGGAAATTAACGCCTTTTATTATTTATACGAATTAGAAGATTCTCATATAAATATTAACGATAGATTATCATATAAATGTTTTTCTTTCCATTTTCTCTTTTCGTATTTTATCGTGTGAACGAACAGAAAGAGGAAAAGAATATCCATCTAAGCTTGTATCAAGCACTGTTGTTACTTCGGTTCAGTATACTTGTTCAAAATAGAGCAGATATAAAATTTTATTAAATCCGAGAGAAAAAAGGAAGGCTGATAATACAAAACACTACAATTATTTGTATAAAAATCATTTGTACGTTCTCGCGGGACACAAAAAGTAGATTGGTAACTCCTTTTCGTAGTAGGCAACGTCGTTACATCAGCACCTTGAACTTTTGTGATCCATATCCGACATATCCGAAATGCTGTTGCGCAAGCCTTTGCCAGACAGTTCTGAAAATTGACCGACAAGGTCAACCAGCAACAAAGAGACGGTGTCACTGCGCTTTCCCACCAAATCATCGGCGTCGAGTGCATAAAGAAAACGAGCTTCAAGTAGCTGATCGACGTCGGAGGTGACAAATGGAACAGATCTTGAGCGGGATTTCTTTGAACATCCACCCTTTGGATTGAAGGATAATAGTTTCACCGCAAATGTTGATCGCTGCGCCTGGCATGATCTGTTGATGATTAAGAAACATGTTGGACTCAGACACTACACTGTACGTTAATTTTGACGCTTATAAGAAATACATGGACAATATTTATTTACTTCTTACATCCGAACAGCCATTGAATGTAAACGATGCCGGAAGTGCTGAAGTGACTTTCTCTAAACTTAATTAGTTTTACTTTGCTGAAAAATATAGCTTATTTCTGTCTCTTTACTGCGAATCGCAGCTTTTCAAGTCAAAATTCGTCATGGAGATATTTAACTTTTAAAATGCATCGCATTTTTTTTGATGGTGCATCAGTATAACTTATAGCTCCATTTATTTCTTTTAGTATCATATCAGTTTTAATAGACTGTTTCAATGCTCGAGCAACTTGTTGCAGTGGATATTGGATATATTCAAGTTGCTTACCTATAAATAAATATGTATGAAAAGTATTTAGCGACCCTCGTCAAACATAGTCGTGCTATATGAGTGAATGATCTAGCCACTGTACCATTCGTTTCCCATATACAACATGCGAAAGAATAAATACAAATCTGTTTTTCTGAATAGATTTCCTTAAATTTAGGAAGGAATTAAAATTATCTTTTCTCTCTAATCTAGCCCCACTAACACTTCTTATATATTACGTCTAAATAGAGAACATTTTTTTACTGAAGCTGATATTGATTTTAGTATGATCCGTTGCCCAAACTATTTACAGAAACAGTACTATACCACAGGTCGAAAGACAAACGTTTACGGATTGCAAGTTTATTTTCTCAATTCAGCACAAAATGAACTACAAAACTTTAGAGAGTTTGTTTTGTCAACGATAGTAGCAAAAGGATTGCGAATAGTGATTTAAAGAGCTGAAATATTTTCTATCCCATGAGACATCTTCAAAACGTTAGCACAAATTTCTACAACTATGATACCTAGGAAACTTAAAAGTCCTAATTTCAGGTACTTTGTAATTTGTCTGCTGATTTTGGAGTTTCAATGGGTTTAGGCCTTTCGTACAATTAAGCTATTTACGAAAACGTCTAATAGAAAAGATGCCTACATCTGAGGATTTTGCCAATGTCACATTCCTCATGCACATTACTGCTCTAGTTTCAAATTTATTTGTAATATTATTCTTTCATTTGAATAGAAACTTTCAGATCGTTAAATGACTCAAGAGAAAAGTTGATCATTTTGTAATGTATGATTTCCACCTGTTTTTAGTGCTTCAACAATGCTTCGACTTCCTGCAGCTAAAAGCTCTTGAATAGGACGATGTTATAAGATGCGTTTTCCATCGTGAACGCGATGACGAGATTTCTGGAGGCCTCTTTGAACTTGGTTTCATAATTTTTCCCCATCAAAATATCTTTTTTGTGCTTTTATGGAACACTAGCCACCTTCCCACGCGCTTATCCAGCACCAGACGATTGCATACAGAGTCAGTACTCGTTGCTTTCACGTCACTTGTTTTATATGGATAGAGTGAGTCAGAGTTGAAACCGGTCAACCGGTCTTTACTGGTTCTCTTTCTTTTTCACTCCGTTACAATCGTGTTTAAAAAAATTCCAGCTCGATCGAACATAGTGTGTTGCAGAACCTTAACCGATTCAGGAGCTTTTTCGCAAAAAGGTCATTTCAATATAAATAAATACAAAACAATGT